GAAAACATTGGTGAATGCCACAAATTCTCCTAAATCACTCGTACGCACAACTTAAGAACAAATCTCTCCGTACAAACGGTTCTTGCACGAGGCCCAATGTTAGAATTTCTGCCTTTTTTTAGAGTAGTTGGACTGTTAACTTCATTAAGCTATGATATAAAACCAAAGCAAGATTTGAGACTCAAAACAGGAAAGTTGTCATCCTGTTACTTTTATTCAACACAAACTGCACCGGTGTGAGCCTTCAAGCCTCAAATCCTTTGAATTTTCACCTCTATGAAGATAAATTGTTCTTTGTCTTTACTTATTGCTGATCTCTTTGCAAAAAAATAAAAACATTCTTCATTTATCAGATCTGTTTTAGTCTGAAATGAATAATTTATATTGTATAAATTAACAAAAGCATGTATGTTAATAATAAAGCACTTGGCTGCAGGTGTTGCAGCTAAACAAATATATTCTGCAGCACTTCTTTGAGAACACGTGCATGATCTAAATGTGTTGTAAACTCAGTCTATTGTAGATTAGTAAAAAGAAGAATGAGTAGAATTAAATTAGGCATTATTGTGTTTTTTATGTAATAAAGAGCAGAAAAAACTTTTTTCCTCTTAGGTGTAAAATGTGATATTTTCTTCAGTCTTAAAATGTTATTTTAGGACTACTGCAGATTTTTCCTCACTTTAGTCACTACTTGGACATTTTTTAAAGGTTTCTGAACTATTTGATAAAAAGCTGGATGCAAAATACTTTTTAATTTTTTTTAAAAACATGCACAAATTGTGCCATCAAAAGCAAAACATATATCAGGATGTCAGTAATTTAATAGATCTTATATGTTCACCTGATGCTGAGGAATTACATCAAGGTTTGTGTTTTTAATAAATGACTATTTACCCCAGATTTATTATTTATTTATTGCATGTTTTTAATAGTGAGTTCAGAGTTTGCGAAAGGAGGCTGAAGTAATCACTTCTTAATAGCTTTACCAAAATCCAAACCAATTTTCCTCCAAAAGGAAAAACCTCCCTGGTTTGACGAAGCCCGTGTGTAATGCATGTGCCTGTTTAGATAAACTAATAAAGAGCCTGGAAACATGGTGAGCAATGAAGGCAGACAAGATGGAAGCATCTGTCAGTGTCTGTTCTCTGTCTGAGTTCAGAGCCCCCGGAGGGTCCAGAGCTACAGCGACATCCTCAAACTTCATGTCTGTGTTGATGTTAACTAAACTAAAGCATGGGAAGTCCGCCCAGCTACTTAAAATATCAGGATGTCATGTTCAATGTCATACAAACAAACAAAACAACAAAAAACAACTTAACAGCAGCTGTAACAGCCCACCAAGTGCTGCCTTTTTTTTGAAGCTAATGGCCTTTAATGTATGTTATAAATATTTGAATTATGTCTGGTTGTAAATCTTTCATGTGAGATTTTTTTTTCAACTTTAAACATTAGTCTGGGCCTCATAAGAAGCGGCGCTCCCGTGCTGTTTCACGTTTTATCGGCTGTTTGATGTTGATGTGATGAAATTTTTAAAGGAGGGGTGATAGTGCTGTGTCACCTAAACAGAGCAGGTTATCAGCAAAGCAAATGGATTTTAATGGCAACATGAAAAAAAAAAAGCATGGCAATCGTAAGGAAACAAGACAGTCTGGAAATACTTGAAATGAAAACAAATTGACCTCTGAGTTAGCTTTGAAATAATATTAATACTTAAAGTGTTTTCTAAAACAGCAAAGAAAYCTACTTTTCTTTTTAGTCCTCTTGAAAAAATAATATCCTGATACCATGTGGCCCAATTATTCTCTTCATGCCAAATGTTAGTGAGGTGGAAAAACAGCACGACTGAAACACAGATTTTATGATTCGTCTCATGAATATATAATGCCCCATTTATGGCTAAACGGTATCCACAGAAGCAGTAAAATATGACAATCTTATTAACAGATCATTGCCGTCAAGCTCTCTCATGTTCAGGCAGAGGGAGCGGCGATGCGCCTTAGTAAATATTAAATGCTTTAAGTGCTTCTGGTAATACTTGTGTATGTATTTTGCATAAGTAACACCAGACTGTCAGCGGCTGAGAGGGAAAGGAGAGGAGGAAGTGTAAGTAAAGTCAAGTCATTCAATTATGCATTTAATATCTTAATAATGTCTGTTAGGACATGGATTGAAGAGATTAGAGCACCTGACAGCTCACTGAGGCTGCACAGCTACATCTGCTTCTCTTTGACAGAATCAGGACATCAGAAAAAAAAAAAGAACGAAAGAAATAAAAAAAGAAAAAAAAGTCAATAATTTCCTGTTAGTTTCTTGCCTTCTGTTCGTCCTTACCTGCAGATGGCAGACTGGCTGTATGCCGGCCCCTCGGCGGCGCTGAGCGCCTGGCCCACCTGAGTCTGGGTCAGGCCCAGGGACAGCCGGCGGATCTTGAACGCTTTTGCGAACTCACGGATCTCCTCCAGGTTGACCCCGTCCACCTCGCTGGGGGCGGTCTGCGGGTCTGAAAACACAAGACGTGCACATCTCATTTTTTATCCCTCCACTCCTCTGTCGCTTAGCTTCGTTTTTTTTTTATTTAAAGTGAAAGAGGCAAACAAGCAGCCATTTGTGATCATGATCGCCTCTAAACAAGTATTAAAAGTAGTCCTGCTCTGGGTCAAAACACGCTTTTTCTCATTGATGTAAACTACATGTTTCTGAAAGGTGTTTTGAACAGTAAACTCCTCTGAGGTGTGAAGAAAAGCTTTCATGCTTTTGACTTTAAAGAGTAAACTTTACAGTATAGAAAAGCATATAGGCAAAAACACACGACCCACTTTTTATTTAAAACCCGCCGAGCTTTAGTTTCTCTGTGAATAAAACTGGCTTTCTCAGATAAACATTAAAAATGTATAAAGAATCCAAAATCCATATGACCCTAAAGTTATGACAGTTCAAGCCTTCAAAGTAAGATTGAACCTCACAAACAATACTCGCTCCTGCCCCCACAATAAAAAGAGCTTTACCACAAAGAATCTGCACAGATCTAGAAAAACTCGACTGGAGCGTTTTAAATAATTTTCCTGCTAATAAAAAGCGATTTCACATTGTACATCAATGTCAGGTGCCCTGGCATCCTGCTTACTAAAGCAAAGTTTGTGCCTCTGAATTATTCATCCTGGTCATTATCAATGAATTATTAAAGGAATCCTCCAAGCGTATTTAAGGAAAAATCTATGAGGCTGCCATCTCGTTGTGCCTCATAAGTGACGTGCAGCATATGCGATGTGCTCCAGACGTGCGAACACCGGGAAGATGAGGGGGCTGCAAACTCGGAGCACTCACGGCTTCGGGTCCCATCATCTCCACCGTGATGAGCATTTCTTCATCATTCCCAGTGGAGGCTATTTACTTAGTAGATTGAAAGACTAATGGAAGCTGTTCTCGACTGGTTCTGCTTCTGGAGCCGTAATATTCGTTAGATATTGGGTCAGGACTCAGGCGCCGCTTTAATTTGAACCCAACTCGAGTAATGAATATTGGAGGAAAGCGTCACTGAACAGAAAAGGCCATGAGGTATTCTTAAAGCTAATTCTTGAAAAAAGAAGACGCAAGGGATAATATTTGTAAGGTTTTAAAGATGACTTTGCAAAACGTTGTTGAAGTTTAAAACGATTGGATTGATTTTTACCCAATGCTAACATTTTGCCGTGACGTACAGTATGTAGTGTGTGACCTCGACTGTGAAGGAAGCTAGGCTAAGAAGCTAACCGGTGGAAACTGTGTGTGCTGTAAACAACCATCCCTACTGAGAGGAGACAATTCTGAGCCGAACGAGATGTCTGTAAATGAGCGCTGCAGGCTTTGTGGGACAAATTTTATTTAATTTTGAAGTGGACGTGCACTGATGGTTTAATTCACTTCCTCCTCCACTACCATTGCTAAAATACAGGCAGGTTAAAACGGCACAGAAAATCATCGTTGTCGTTCATAACTCCGCCTCCTGTTCGCTGATTGGCCCGGTTGAAACTCTAAATCCTCGTCTATGGAAGAAATCCCAGATGTAGCTGGGAAGGGAAACTAGAATTGAGCGGAACTGCATGGGAAAGCAAGGTCCAGGCTTTAAAACAGAATCAAACTGAATCTCTGAACAAATTTCAACTAATTAACAGAACGTGACACTGAGCTGAATTTAACCCTCTACTGCACTCATTTTTCTTCCGATATAAAGAAAATGTTACTTTTATAAAACTCAAAATAAACTGAAATGAACTCATTAATTTTTATTTTTAAAAATATTTTAGGGGTGTTTTTTGGGGTGGGGTTCCAGGTGGCAAAATTGTGCGACAGTGGAAATTCTTCATGTTTCTTATGCAGTACATGAAATTCATACAAACATCTATCAACGTTCTTATTTGGATTTAATAGTTTTTTCTCCCACAAAAAACTGTTAAAATTTCATTTTCTTTTTACACTTAACACAACACTCATTTTCAGGTGCAATAAGAACCTGTAACTTATTCTCATTGTTAATTTTAGCAATGCCATAGAACATTATGGGTTTGTGTTCTATGTAATACTGTATATAGTTTATTACATATAATTATATATTATATGCAGTATTATACATTATATACATTAATGGGTTTGTGTTCTATATAATACTGTATATACAGTGG